TTCTGTTTATTTTTCTATTTTTCCCCTTGTTTTCAACGTTAATTTTTCGATTTTTTTTTTTGAAATTCATTTTTTTAGGTCAATTACTCGCCTTATAGACACCTGGAACTTTGTTCTTCATATGTTTCACGGGAAAAAAAATTATGTTTAATTTTCATTTTTAGATTATATTAGACTTATTTTGCTATATATATAAAGAAGCTCATGCTCGTCTCTGTTTGAATACCACAATATGTGCTACACCCGTTTTTTGCTTTTTGTAAATAAAGTAGACATGTTGCTTTGATAATTTAGAAACAGGAAAGTGAACTTTATTGCTCTCAGAAATCAATGAAGTGATTCACAGTAACTTGCTCTATTTATAGAGCTGAAAACCAACGATATCTGCAGCCACTAACCACCAACTCCTTATGAAATGCTAAAGACTAGGTAAATGTAAAACAAACTTCAATTTGACTGGGCCAAAAACAAGCCACGTTCCTAAATAATAAATAAAATAAATACAATTTATTAACTTACCTAAAGACTAGGACAATAAGGCAATAGCAATTAAAATAGACTTAACTTTTCCAACAGTCATTCCCTTAAGCTGATGTTTCAACATTCAGTTTAGTGAAGGTTAGTTCCAAAGCTCCCTCCCTCAAATTTGTTTATCCAAAGTGCAAACACCAAGCAACTTCCTGAGCTTCTGATATACAGGAAACTCGAGAGACTTGGTTAGAATGTCAGCAATCTGGTCCTCACTTCTGCAGTAAATAAGATTAATGACTCCATCATTTGTGAGATACCTCAATAAATGGTACTTCACATCTATGTGTTTGCTTCGACCATGTAAAACTGGACTTTTTGAAAGATTTATTGTTGAACTGTTGTCACAATAAATCTGAGTAGGTCCATCATCCTTAAAATGCAATTCTTTAAGGATTTTCTTTAGCCAAATAGCTTCACAAGCACAAGCAGTTGTAGCTACAAATTCAACGGATGATAATGTGACAATAGGTTGCTTCTTTGATGACCATGAAACAACTCTTGTCCCCATCATGAAAACATACCCACATGTGCTTTTTCGATCATCTAAATCTCCTGCACAATCACTATCTGTAAAGCCAAATAGATCTGACTTTTCTCCAGTCTTGTAGAGCAACCCAAACTCCTTAGTACCTTGCAAATATCGGAAAATTCTTTTTGCAGCCAAGAGATGAATCTCTGTAGGACATTCCATGTACCTGCTAATTGCACTTACGGCATACATTATATCAGGTCTTGTTGCTGTCAAATACATTAAACTCCCCACTATCGATTTGTAAAGAGTGTCGTTAACCTTCTTTCCTCCAATATCTTTGTTTAGCTTCACACCAAACTCAGATGGAGTATTTACAAGATTACAATCCTTCATCTGAAACCTATCCCAGATTTCTCGCACATACTTCTTCTGAGAAATAAAAATTCCAACAGAGGATTGCACCACTTCAATGCCAAGAAAGCAATCCATCATACCAAGATCAAACATTTCAAATTCAGCCATCATGGATTTCTTAAAACTTTCAAACATGGTTGTATCATTACCAGTGTTGATTAAATCATCTACATATAAGCAAACAATGAGCATTTCCCATCCATCTTTAATCTTTATGAAAAGTGTATGTTCATAAGGGCATTTTTGAAATCCTTCCTTCAAAAAATAAGTTTCTATACAATTATACCACGCCCGTGGAGCTTGTTTTAATCCATATAGAGCTTTCTTTAACTTGTAGACTTTATGCTTATTGCCAAGTTTTACATAACCAGGAGGTTGATCAATAAATACCTCTTCTTTCAAATCTCCATGGAGAAATGCTGATTTTACATCTATTCGGGAGATAGGCCATGAGTTTTGAGCTGCCATAGCAATCACCAATCTGATCGTGTCATGCCTTGCAACTGGAGCAAAGATTTCTTTATAATTAACACCAAACTCCTGCTTGTAGCCCTTAGCCACCAAGCGTGCCTTGTGCTTGTCAACCTCACCATTCTCTTTTAACTTTGTTTTGTACACCCGTTTGACACCAATGGTCTTCTCTCCATTTGGAAGATCGGTCAGCTCCCAAGTGTTATTCCTTTCTATGGCTGCAATCTCTTCATTCATAGCCTTCCACCAATTTGGTTGTTTGGAAGCATCAATAAAGGTTACAGAATCACAATTTAAGAAAAGGGCAAAGTGTGTAAGTGGATCCTCAGAATGATCAGTACTCATTACCTCATAATCGGTCATCCATGCAGGTCGCCTTCTGAACCTTTTTGATCTTGAATCTGTTGATACTGCAGGTGGACTTTGAGTTACTGGTACTGGTTCATCTATTGGTTGTTGTGAGTTTGTCATAAGTTGGGTTTCTTCTACATCAAAATTCGCAGGAATTTATTGTTGAACTCCATCTCTATTCCACTCCCAAAATCTTTCTTCATCAAATGTAACATCTCGGCTAATCACAATCTTTTCTGTGGTTGGATTACAACTTGCATGCTTTGGATTGATTGTTTACTCCAAGAAAAATGCACATTCTCGCCCTTTCATCTAGCTTTTTCTTCTTCTCATCTGGTATGTGGGCATAAGCAATACATCCGAAGATTCTTAAATACCCAACAGTTGGTCTTCTTCCACTCCATGCCTCTT